CACACACACACACACACACACACACACACACACACACACACACACTCATTCCCCGCTAATTACGCCACTGCAGCGCCCCCGGCTGGAGAGTGAAGAAAACAAGCGCCTCGGGACACGATTTTATTTCCTTCAGAATTATCTCTGGGGTTATGACTCCGTAAATCAGTGTTGGGCAGTAACTAGTTACTAGTAAATCCAACAACCCAATAATTCCTAGATTTCTTTTCATAATTTTCATGGCTCGCACAGGCACATGAAGTCACCAGTGCATAAGGAAAGCTTGGAATATGGAAAAGCTTACATTCAGGGTATGGAAATATTGCCATTACACTGATTTTGTCAGGAGAAAAGCTGATATGAACACATTATGTGTAAGTTGTGGCATTACTTTGGCATTACATGGCTTGCCCACCCACATCCCTCTGATCCCGATATACATTATATTATTATAATTGAACTTATGTGATTTCCTTTGCTAAAATACTTCATGAAATATAATCATACATGGGTAACAGAAATTATAGCTACAATTAGCTTCAAGCTACACATGACAATTAATACAACACTTTTACTAAAAGGCACAATATGTAATTTTCGCCGCTAGAGGGCGTGTATTCAAAATAAAGGAAACAAAGCAGCGCTGTTTTTTCATACTAGATACATTTGAAATTATTTGAAAGTTCTGTTATAATGCTACTCTGTGCGGTCGTCACCTGTCTAATAAAACGCATAACATATTAAAGCGTCTTTGGTGTTTCCATGTTTTCTACAAAACAAAACCGGAAATCGAGAGGTTATGACATCATTGGCAGGCGACACAATGACACTATGGACACGCTCCGTGTCACTAGTTAAAATTGCTTATTTCTCTGGATTTAAACATTCTTCTAAACATTTGGGATAATGTAAGTACACAAGTCAGCAAAATATATAACACTGTTCTAGTGGTTTTTGAATATTTTAAGAAAAAAATCTTACATATTGTGCCTTTAAAAGTCACTTCCAATCACCATTGAGTATTTGTAATAACTTCTGACTGCGATTCAACGTAGATTTTGGTCAAATGATGAGGCAGAAAAATTGTTAGTAACATTTTTGAAGAATTTTATGTGGAAGATACACAATTACAACTTCTGTGGGGCGTAGTAGTGCAATTACTGTTGCCAGAAAGTAATAAGTTAAGTAATACTATTACTTTCGAAAGGAGTAACTAGTAAAGATTAATAAATTACATTTTTGGATCAGTTTCCCCAAAATCAGCCCAAACATAGTAAATGTGCACGGTCCTTTCCTTTCATTGCGGTTACATCAATATTAGAGCTGAATAAAGGTCTGCTGCTCTACTACATGTATAAATGCAACAGTTACTACAATAAAAAATTGTCTTTTTATTAGCCACTTGTCATCAAATAATTTTATTAAATAAATATATAAATAAATAAACAACATCTATAAATTCTGGAAAAACTAATAAAATTTATAGGAGATCCTGGATTATATTTATTATGATATATAATATATACAAAATATAATAATATATAAAATATAACTATAAATATAATTAAAAAATAAAATGTTGGTTACCATGGTATATTTTAAGGGTAGACAAAAAGAGGTACAATAAATGTATTTAATGTATAATTTAATGTCAGTCTTAAGCTGGTTGTAAGGTTGTTTCTAAAATCACAAATACTTATTATTTTAAACAATATATATATATATATATATATATATATATAATTAAACAATTACTGGTATTCAAATATTTTTCATGTACTAAACTAAAAGCCATTAAAACAAGGTCATATGCTTTGACAGACGTCATAATTCACACATGTGTGCAACAAATGAATAAGTACCGTTTACCACATATCACCAACAGAAAGAATTAATATCACCATAATAAGCATGAGTACTGTAAAAAATAATAATAAATAAAATGTTAATTACAAAGTTATCTATATGTACAAAATAAATATATAATATTCATACAATACTTATGTGGTGTGATAAAATAACGCCTTAAAAATATCTTTTAAAAATACAGTAAAAAGAACACACATCTTCAGTGTTGACAATAATAATTATCTAAATTTTTTTTTTTTTATCTAATTAGGTATCATTTTTACTCATATACCATTTTAAATACACAAAACACGTATCCTAAAAAATACCAAATACAGATTTAATAATAAATAAAGTCAAATAAATGATCTTTCCATGATGCAATTTTATTAAAGACACATAGCCGGCAGTACAGTTATTTAATGTTTTAATAGATGTATTTAAATATTTATGAAACCCATTCCATGATCAACCATCTTAAAAGGCTTCTGTGACTTTTGGCTGTTAAGACTGAATATGCAGCATAAACAAAATCTCCTAGACATATCTTCTCTGCCATGTCTCTTTTCTGCACATCGCCATCAAGATGGATTTTGGGGGCTCTGTCCTGCTCCCCTTTCAGACCGTGCTTCAGGAACTGATGTGGTTGTTACACTGCTGGGCTTCAGATTGAGTTTTTCTACTGCACTCAAGACGGGACCTCCATCTACTTTAGGTACACTAGTAGATGTTGAGATCACTGGCGATGGCGCTACTACTCCTTCTAAAGACTCATTTGTAAAGGTTTGTGCGTTGTTTGGTACTGTGGGCACATCTAACAGTGACTGTGTTTGTCCAAAAGCTGAGACATTGGTCGCTAATGAGGTCTTGATATCTGATGGATTATTAGGAGTTGAAGGTATCTGTGGGCTTTCAAGCATTGTTGTTGTGGTTGGAATGGCAGTAGACAGATTTTCTAATGCTGATGAACTTCCTTGTGCTGCAGCTTCAGCTTTAGCCACTTCTGCAGCCTTGCTCTCCATCTCCTGCATCCTTTTCTGCACCATTGCGGGCATCAGCTGCACATACGTGCCCATTAAACTGTGATTGGTCCTTATTAACTTGCCAGCACAATTGTCCACACATCGCTCCTGGAAAAACAACACAAACAAAAGACAGAAAAGGGAACATTATATAACCGTCATAGTGAATTTATGTATAATGACCAGGGTTTCTGCAGGTTTGATGGGGAACACACTGTTATGTTCTCTTAATGTAAACGTGAGTTGTATTAGCAACACTTTAGAGATTGAAAATACAATTTCCAACTGATGTCCATCACTTTTTAATTAATTAATAAAAAAAAATAAAAAAAACTTAAGGCTAATAGCTCTGCTCCCAACCACTAGAATATGGAGAAAAAAAAAACTTTCAGTGTACTTCACACTTCTTCCTCAGTGTTTTTGTCTTGTTTTACCGTGCAAATGTCTAAAGATTCTTAAATCAAGATATATTTAGTAGAGAAGCAAAATGGCATGACAAGATGTCTTGTTTTTCTCAGAAATTGGTCAAAATGAAAACTAACTTCATTTTGTTCCATTTTTCAAGACTTAATTTTACATTTGCATCTCAAGTAATTGTATCTTGATTTAAGGATGTTTGGATATTTGTATTGGAAAACAAAAATACTGAGAAAGAGATTTTGTTTTGCAATGCATGCAACATTTAATCAGAATCAGAATCAGAAGGAGCTTTATTACCAAGTATGTTTACACACACACACAAGGAATTTGACTTGGCGACAGGAGCTTCCAGTATAGAAGAAAGTACACACATAGTGCAAACATACACGACACACATTGAATTACACAGTAAAGATGAAATAACACTAATATAAGAAAAACAGAAAAATAAATAATGCACTATATACAGAAATAGAAATATGTGACCCTGGACCACAAAACCAGTCTTAAGTCGCTGGGGTATATTTGTAGCAATAGCCAAAAATACATTGTATGGGTCAAAATTATTGATTTTTATTGAAGATCATGTTCCATGAAGATATTTTGTAAATTTCCTACTGTAAATATATTAAAACTTAATTTTTGATTAGTAATATGCATTGCTAAGAACTTCATTTGGATAACTTTAAAGGCGATTTTCTCAATGTTTTGATTTTTTTGCACCCTCAGATTCCAGATTTTCAAATAGTTGTAAGTCGGCCAAATATTGTCCTATCTTAACAAACCATACATCAATGGACAGCTTATTTATTCAGCTTTCAGGTGATGTATACATTTCAATTTCGAAACATTGACCCTTATGACTGGGTTTGTGGTCCAGGGTCACATATAGAGAAAGAAAAAACATATAATTGTTTAAATGAATGTACAGATATGTCATTTACAACTGAAGTGTACCGTTTATGTAGCTGACAATATACAATTCCAGATACTATGTATAAAAGTGTCAGTTATGATTTTCATTTGTTCAGGCTGAATATGGCCTGCGGGAAAAAACTGTTCTTATGCCTGGCTGTTCTGGTGGTCAGTGCTCTGTAGCGCCGACCAGAAGGCAACAGTTTGAAGAGAGAGTGTGCTGGGTGTGAGGGGTCCAAAGTGATTTTACCTGCCCTTTTCCTCAATCTGGAGGTGTAAAGGTCTTTGAGGTTGGGCAGGGGGGAACCAATAATTCTCACAGCAGTCCTAACTGTCCGTTAATGCCATGACTTCATGAATTCA